ACAGTTGTAATTTGGAATAGTCCTTCTCCGGGCAGACAGAAGTTTCAGGGTGTTCTGATAAGACAGCTTTGCATTACTGTAGCTATCGTAAATGTGGAACCCTATGCTGATATTTGATAATATTTTGGGGTTCTCATTGATCTGCTTCACAGCAAATATTAACGACAGGACATGCTGGTAATTTTTTAATATTGCCCTGTGGGAAGAGTTATATAATATATGAGATAACTATAACATATACTTTGAATGCACTTCACTGTGTCTGGAAGCAAAGTTAAGTATCTGAACTGTCAGAAATACATATTCTTATATATATATATGATTCTTCATATACATCATATAAATACTTTCTGACAAAGAGATTATTTCCTTGTTTTTGTGGATAAATTTCAAGTTTAAATTATATATTTTCCCAGCCATGTTGAATAAGAAAAGGACTCTCTCAGGTTGACTCCCAGTATTTGCAAGAACACACATGTAGTTTTCCCAGCAGCATTATGGAACTGAGTTCCATTCAGTGATTTTTCTCTTATTTCCCAGTTTAATCAACAGGCTTGGACTGATAGATTCCAATCCTAGTAACAAGCAGGTCTGACAATGCTTAGGATCAGCTAAGGATGGATAGGTGCCTAAATATTAACTGTAAAACCAAAAGCCAACCTAATTTATTTAACATAGAGCTTATTCAAGAGCAACAAAACATATGGATTATAGATTGTCTTTAAACATGCAAGAAATCTCAGCCAATCACAGTATGCACTGCCCAAAAGGGTTTCTAATCTATGCCAGCCCATCCTGGATATTTTCTTCTGTTCGTTTCAATAAAAGAGAATGCACTAAACATCTGGATATGTCATTCCTGCCTCTTTCCATCTTGTGAGACTAATGCCAGCTGTGTTTTCAAATTGACTGGATGTTCAGATATCAGAGCTGTCCTCAGTATTACATTTTAAACACCATGAGTACAAATATTTTTCCAGATTGCAAGGGGAAGTGTGTAAGCAGATCTCTGAAGAGATCCACGGCTTGGGCTTTGCAACCACAGAAGCACCCTCCATTAAAATCATCCAGGTTTTGTTTTGTTTTCTAAATAAAATGAAGGGGCAAAAATTTGTCATAATTAATCACATGGCCAAAATATTTCTGCTGATACAATTATCAAAATCTCCAGTAGAAGGAATGCCCTGCTGGATTTTTGTAGGCAGGAAGGAAGAGATAGAGATGAGAGCTCTCTCTCGCTCTCTCTCTCACTCTCGCTCTCGCTCTCGCTCTCGCTCTCGCTCTCGCTCTTGCTCTTGCTCTTGCTCTTGCTCTTTTTCTCACTGTCTGCTCTCAGCTATGGTACACCCTCCCAACACTAGAAACAGACTCAAAAAAGGATGTATCCAATTTTCACTTTTTTCTGAGGTTGTAGACCGCTCTCCCACTCAAGAGGGGAAAGCAAACGTATCCTATGAATTTTATTCTTTTTTCCCCCCTGACAGAATGGTGAAGAAATTAACTGATTCTTTTTCCCTTATTAAAATGAACGGGTTTTAAGGTGGCTTAAGTGAGGCTTTATTGCATCGTAGTGCACTGTAACTCTTATCAGTGTCATATCAGTAGAAAGCATGTAATCAGTGCAATGCTAATAGAACATGTAAAAGACATACAGTAGATATACAGAAACAGTTTCTTTTAAATAGATTAACAGATTAGCTGAACTCTAACAAAAAGTTCAATATAAATTTGAAATCTATATACATTTGAGCAATAAAACATGATAACACAATCTGTTGAAAAAAGGACAGTGAATTACAAGAGCTCAGAACAAAGAAAATAGAAATGCATGTAATCAGTGCAATGCTAATAGAACATGTAAAAGACATACAGTAGATATACAGAAACAGTTTCTTTTAAATAGATTAACAGATTAGCTGAACTCTAACAAAAAGTTCAATATAAATTTGAAATCTATATACATTTGAGCAATAAAACATGATAACACAATCTGTTGAAAAAAGGACAGTGAATTACAAGAGCTCAGAACAAAGAAAATAGAAATGCAACTGCGTTTGGTAGGAAAAGATGAAATCAGAAAGAAGTTGTGATAAGCACAAATATAATATTAGAGGAAGCGGTGGGATAACGAATGATCAAAGGATAGAAAAAGCAACCATTTGCACCATATAGAAATATAATGTAGAAGGAAGTGAATTAAAAATTAATTCTGTAAGACTACCAATAAAAAGCATTTTCAGAAACTCTTTTTCAGCCTTTTTTATGAACTACATCATTCAGAATAGTCCCAGTTCTTGACTTGGATACGTATCTTGCTACTTCCAGTCACTGGCACCTCCAGTTGAAAGATTTGCTTACATGAGTTCATCTACCACCTTTGTTTCAGGGTGTTCCTCAAAGGTGCTTATGTCCAACAGGCAGTCAAACTGGGCAGCAATCCCTCCAATTATTATATCCCCTGTTTTGCAATGCTCATATGGGAACTGGAAGGGCTCACTCACAGAGCAGATGGCATCATGTGCCTTGAATTTAGATAGCACAGGGTGGGGCGGTTGCCAAAGGAAAAGCTGCAGCAGAAATACCCTTTCCATGGCATGCATTGCTTTAAGACACTGTCCAGCGCTCGGTCTGTTTCTTGACTCTACCTGTCTG